ATTTGGCTGGTGAGTTAGTTTGAAGAATGCCTTTACACCCTGAATATCTCAAAGTTCTTGAAACAAAAATTGCCGATATGAGTAACATTTCTAGCCGTAATTATTTTGCCGGCAGTAGTGTTGCTGCCGCGTTTTTAAGTGCGTTTAGAGGAATAGTTCCTTTAGTTCACTTGGATGTTGCTTCTACCGCTGTTTCACGTGAAAAAACCGGAACCGGCGTCATGGTGCAAACACTTTATAATGTCTGCAAGAATCAGCATTAGTTTTTTTGAGTAGAACCAACTACGCATGAAAAAGAATCTTAACGAAAAGCCAACCAAAGCAAAAGTTTAAAAAAAAGATATTAACGCCAATCGTTCATTATTTTTTAGATTCGTTGTTTGTCTTTTATTTTTTATCGTAGCGGTTTTTTCGATTGTTCTCGTTTATTTTGTCGTTAATGTTCGGTGTCCAAGTTAATTTTGAACACTTAATTTAACCACCGCGATGTTAAAGAATAATCCGTAAAAATTTTATTGCTACGCAAATTGTTTGACAGATTAACCAGTTGTTTTTTATTGTAATAACATTAAATTTTTGCATGTAGTTAACTTTATTCTTTTTGTTTATTGCAATAAAAAAAATGAAAAATGTCTAATCGAGAGAGATACTCGCCTGAACGCTCGTTTATTCAACGATCGGTGTTTACCCACAACGAGTAAGATGCCAAGCACGAAAAAATAGATTTTCTTTTTATAAACATCCGCGCTACTTTTAGTGGATTTTGTTTGGGTTTGAGCAAGTTCTTCTAATTCTGCTGAATTTACCGCTTGATGGATTAGTGTCTGTAATTTTTTAACACTCTCGGGCAATTTTTCTTTCATTCGATGTATTCATTAATGTATTTTTCTGAAAAAGCCTTGTATTCGTTTAAAATGACCCATCCGCGATCGTTCATCATTCAATTTTTCTTGAATTCCTCTGATAAGTTGTTTGAATACTGGCAGATGATATGGTTGGCAGCATACCGAATTTTGTTGAGCGAAGCAAAGTCAAAAGAATTAATAAAATTTCTTACTTCGGTGATTTCTTTATGGGTTGACTTGTCAACCGAGATGAAAGTTAAAAAGTTTAAATGAATTGGTCCAAGGTCATCCAAAATATGTGGGTTTAGGGTATTAAGTTCGTTTTTGCATTCCGTTACCACATCATCCTCAGTAACGAAGATTTTTGTTAATTCATTTTGGTTGCGGATCTGTTCGCGATAATTTCTGAATTTTTCAAATCTACTTTCGATCATATGTTCAACCAATTGATTTTCTTTCGTCTTTAATGTGCTGAAAGCATTATTCAGAGAACCCTTGCACCGTACCAAGAATAATTATATCTAAATTCGCTTTTTTTCGTATTTAGAAATTGGACTTTTTGTCCTGCAATCAAAAATAACGACGAAGAAAACTTAGATTCTTTTATTTTTCTTTTACTTTTACCTCATGTTTTGCATCAAAATTTTCTTTTAGATGTGTATTACTAATAATATTAACCAAAAATGTTACTATGCAAAAATGGGTTATCATTTAATGCCATTTTTTTAGATCATTCAGCTTTTTCTGCGATTTTCCTAGTACAGAAGCAAAACAACGATCAAGTTTTAACCTAAAATTCGGATTCTCAACAAAGCTAATTTTAACGTTAATTCATGGATTAAATTAACACACTATTTTGGAAATCAATGTTTACATAATATCAACGTATAATGATCTTATGTGGAAACTATCTAATATTGTTTAATTTTAGAAAAGATTTTTATGGTAAGTGTAATAAATTTAAAAACAAAAATTTATTTTGGTAAAAAAGACACTTGTTTAAGAAGCGTTTTAAAAGAAGCAAGGATCAAGAAATTAATGCTCGTTTATGGAGGTGGATCTATTTTCAGCAACAACGTTTACAACGACGTCACTGAAAATCTGAAGTTAAATAGCATCACTTACGTTGACTACAAAGGTGTGAAACCTAATCCGGAAACTGAACACACTTATCAAGGGGCTGTCTTTGCGCGACAAAATGCTGTTGATGCTATTATTGCTGTTGGAGGCGGTTCAGTTACTGATGCTGCCAAAGTTACGGCTATTTTGGCGACAAACAGTAACTATCGCGATTGTTGATCCTATGTTATTGACTCATCTCATGTTAAGCATCGTGCGCTTCCAGTTTATTCGGTAATTACAACTGTCGGTACTGCGAGTGAAAAAATTGCAGGGAGCGTCATGAAAAACGTTCAGTCTTTACTCCTTCAGCGATTCCAATTGCTATCGTTTTAGATCCAACATACTTGTACAGCGTCCCTCCGTGGCATACGGTTTCTGGCATTTTTGATTGCTTTAGTCATCTGCTGGAGCAATATTATGATCGCCCATCCATGGAGTGAACTCGCCAATACATTATTGCCAATTTAAAAACTTTACTAAAGTATGCTGAAACCGCTGTAAGGGAACCAAAAAATTACGAAGCCCGCGCCAACGTACAAATTACGACAACAATGTAACTTAATGTATTGGCTAGTTTTGCAAGCACCACTGACTGAAAAGTACATGCCATTGAACACGCCATTTCCGCTCTTTCGGATGTTACTCACGGCGCAGGACTGGCTTTAGTTACACCACCCTACATTGAATATCGTTGTCAGAGTGACCAAGTTTTTTGTCGTCAAACCCTTGAATTGGCGCACGAAATTTTTGGTGTTGAAACGGTCGATCAGTTTTCAGATCAATTAGTAAAGTTCATCAAGAGTATTCAATTACCGGTTAAATTTACTGATTTTCCCGAGATTAAGGAAGTATCAAGCGAAGAGCGAACCTACCTATACCAACACGTGGTTTCGCCAAAAGGAGCACAGCCGAAGGTGGAAAAGAAATTTTGACCTATCATTAAGTAAGTAATTAATCGGATTCCCTAAAGGAAAAGCTTAAGTTAGTATTTTTGCTTTTCACGACTGGCAATTTTTTTCATTCTTTCGATGATTTCTTTGGCAAGATTCATTGGTACGATTTGCGCAATTTGTTCGATTAAAGTATTTCGCCATTCTTCTAGTGCTGTGAAATGTTGCATTAATTGTTTAATTCGTTTGGGTCCAAAATGCGGGATATCCGATAAAAAAGAGATTAAAAAATGTATCAAGATTTTTCTTACGAAAGAAATTAATGGCGTAATTGTGCGTAGTTTCCTGTATTCGGCAAAGAAGAAAATAAAGCGGCGTGTTTCAAGTCAAGATAGTTTTTTGGTGGTTGCTTAGTTCTAAGGCTTCGGCTTTATGAAATTGATTGTTTACTAAACCGATGACGGGTAAATAAATTTCTAGTTGATTTAATGTAACTAAGGAGGCATTAATTTGTAACTTGCCACCATCCAAAATTAATAACTTTGGAGGAGCAAGTTGTTGGGTTTTTAGTTTTGAAAAATGTCTATGAATCACAAAATATGTGTATCAGTAGTCGCTGTTATAGTGCTGATTATCAGACGGAATGATGTATTTTCGGCATAAATATCTTCGCACTTTACCATTCGTGAAATGACAAATCACTCCGACAGGATTTTGACTAAATGAATTCGAATTATCGAGCATATTGATCTCGGTTAGTTCATTGACGTTGATTAAATTGGCTAACTCTTTCAAAGCATCACTTTCTTGTTGATTCTTTTTTTGAATATTTTCAAAATTTTTTTGCAAACAATTTTCAGCGTTTCTTAATGCCATCATCATTGCTTCATGAAGTTTGCCTTTTGTTGGCTTAATGATCTTAATATTTAGTTTTTCTTCTAAAAGTTGATTTTCAATCAACGGTACCGAAACGACAACCTTTTTTGGATGGGAAAATTTAAAAAGATCGTAGTACTGAAAAATATAGTTACTTACTTCCTCTTCCGTTGAACCATAAATAGGAGTAATTTTTTCGTGTTTGTTTTTTAGTCTTCCGTTTAAATATTGAAAAATCGTAATCACGATTACGTTTTCTTTGCCAGCAAATGCGAAGTCATCCACACTATTATCGTTGTGGAGATCAATAACCTGCTCGGCAATGATTTTGTCAATATTGTCATGAAGTTTTTTATATTTGCCGGCTAGTTCAAAATTCATCATTTTCGCTGCTTGATATTCACGGAGGTTTAAGCGTTCAACAAGTGATCGTGTATTGCCATGAAAAAAATTATCGATTTCTTGGCACATTTCATCATAAATGTTGGGATTAATTCCATACAATTGAGGACATAAACATTGACCGAGATCGTGGTAGATACAAGGATGCGATTGTTTTAAAGAACATTTGCGAAACGGGAAAATGCGGTTCAGTGTATCGTAGATTTCATGAGCACTTCCTGTTACAAACGGACCTTAAGTAGCACAGTATTTTTTAAATCTTTTTTGGATAAAAACTTGTACAACAATCGTGGATATTCTTCCTTTGTCAGAACAGTTTTTAGTTTCACGCAACTAAACGTTGTATTTAGGTTTTAACTCACTGATCAAGTTTTGTTCGAGCGTTAATGTTTCTTTTTCATTCGAAACCATAATGTACTCGAAATCATGAATATTTGCCACTAACTTCGTTGTTTTATAATCGAGCGATTTAGCAAAATACTGTTGCATGCGTTTAAATAAATTTTTTGCTTTACCGACATAAATAACTTCTTGCAACTGATTTTTTCATAAATAACAACCCGGGTTTTGTGGAGTGCTATTTAATTTGTCAATGAATCATGATTCTTTTTGCGATTGCGTCATAATCAACTTTAACGATAATTTTAAAAGAATTAAGTGAAGATCGATCTGGAACCCCGATCTTGCCTAATTTTAATAAACGAACTCACCAAAGATTCATGGTTTCTTAATCCACTAGATTGCTAAATCAATCAATTTTGGCTTTGCCTGTATCCGATTACGTTCTTCCGTCTTATTTACAATGTTATTACCGTTTCTAGCGGATTTTTGTTTTTATTGATTCCAACAATTAGAAATAAAATGGAGTGGGTGATGGGAATCGGACCCACAATAATAGCTTGGAAAGCTATAATTCTACCATTAAACTATACCCGCACATTTTGGTGCTCGAAATCCGATTCGAACCGATACGGAGTTTCTTCCGCAGAATCTTAAATCCTGTGCGTCTACCTGTTCCACAACTCGAGCAAAAAAGCGTGTATTGCAATGAGCAAATACACAACTCAAACTACTTTAATTTGGTGACCCACCCGAGGATCGAACTCGGGACCCTTTGGTTAAAAGCCAAGTGCTCTACCACTGAGCTAGTGAGCCATTTGAACTTTTCTGTAAAACAGAAAAGAAAATAATAAATATGGCTGGAATGAAAGGATTCGAACCTCTGCATGATAGGACCAAAACCTATGGCCTTACCGCTTGGCTAGATCCCAATCATTTATTGATGGTCAGGGAGGGATTCGAACCCCCTAAACCATAAAGGTGTTTGATCTACAGTCAGAAGATCTTGTTTATATCCTCTTCAATGGAATTCACTTGTTCAATCAGTTGTTTTGTAAGACGATTATTATTTTCAATTGATTTGTGAAGAGAATAATAGTAGTTCTTTTGTAGTGGTGAGTCATTTACTTTTTCTAAATGAGGATTGTTGGTCAATATGTTTTGCGGTTTATTTTTATAACAATTAATTTGATTCATTATGCTGGATGCCAAATTTTTGTTGGTATTCTTAAACGGTTTTTGTACTTGTGGGTCATGAAAGATAGATTTATTTACAAAAGCGGCATAATTTTGGGTATACCTCCATACCATTGCCCGTTCGTTTCATTATATGACGGATTTTGACATAATGGTTCAGTGTAACTAGGTCCATTTCCATCTTGGTAACTATTGGTTTGATCTTCTGGATAATTTAGCGGGTAACGATTCTGTTGACGATCATTGTATCCTTGTTCATATCCTCGGTTGTATTGCGGATCATGTTTTTGATCATTATTTTTATCATGGATTTGATCTTGACTCAAAGGTTCTGCGTAAGCAGGTGTATCTATATTTTGGTAGTTATTTTTTGGTTTTTCATCGAATTATTTTTGTTTTATTTTTTTATTAAATCGGATCAATTTCATATTTTTTAATTTACCTCCAACAACAAGAGAAAGTTTTTCTTTGTTATTCATGATATGAACTCATTTGGATTCTGTAGTTCAAATTTCTGATCATTATTGTCACGAGAATTTTAACATATATATTCTCAGCAAAATTTGTTGTTTTTTATTCGTTTTGTTAAATTCATTGAAAGATTTTTCAAATATAAAGATTATTGTCCAGTCTAATTCGGCGGATTGAATCAAAGTTTTTATTAAAGATGTGGAAAATTATTTTTCAGATCGTATCAATTACCGTAATTAACATTGATTTAAACATCATATTCTTTTACATTCGGATCATGGCTTGATCTCAGATATTTAAACTTTAT